GTAATATGCCAGTTAGTACAAGATGTTTCCCACATACCTGCTATTGGATACAAACTTAATATTTCTTTTGAAAATTTGAGAGAAAAAAAATCTCCTGTCTGTCTAACAAACAATTTTTAATAACACAGAATAAAAATGCAGAGACCATTCTTAAGTTGGAAAACTTTTGATTTTGCAACCAGATATTTTTCATTTTGAACTATTATTTAACTAAGTCATAAGCATCACTGTGATAACACATTAGTCAGCATTCACAGCCAATTTCAAGTCCACTTCTGCTAGACAAGAAGTTTCCTCCTTCTGAAAGGAGAAGGAAAAAAGACTTTTTGAAACCAAAGCTCATCCTAGAAATGCTTTAAAAAGTGAACTAATTAAATTTAAAAGTAAATCCTCCATGTAATTATCAGATGACCAAAATTTTTCAGATATTTAAAAATAATTCACCCAAACCTAAAAGGTTTCTCTTTAAATAAAAACCTGATTAACATGTAATTTAGTGCCTTCTAGAAAACAGAAAAAAGTACTCAGATATGTAAAAATGAATTGTACTTTCTTCTGTGTTTGGATGACAACACCAAGTCTTTCCTGATAATAATGCATTCCCCTGTACCAATAAAGGTTCTCTGCAGTTTCAGATTGTGTGATATTTCAGTGTATATTTCATTAATGCTACACTCACCTGGGCAATTTTTTGGTAAATTCCACAAAAACACATGAAGGGAAAACTTCCTTGTTGATTCATTGGACTGTCCATTATAGTGCTTGGCATAAAGTTCCCACCTTCTGGAGGCAGCAGCTCCAGTAGTGTAGTCCAGTTTTATGTTAGCAAGGTTTCATTTTGGCACTGCCTCCTTTCTGAGAATCTCAACTCATGCAAGAAACTCTTCTTGTAAAGGTGTCCTTGACATTGTAAGGAATGTATAACCTCTGCATTTAGCATTGCACCTCACAGCCTGCCATTGTCTTTCCAAATGAAGTGTCTGAAACCAAAGGCTTCCTGCGGATCTGTGAGGCACTGCCAGCCCCTTTGCAGACTATTGTATACTGTGCATGCACAACCTGTAGTAGAGCTATTACAAAGAATTTCTAATTATTTTATTTCTGAGGTGATTTAGAAGGAAGCAGAATTTGATTTAGCAGTTAAAGAGAGGTCTATCAGCTACCCGTTTCACAAAGTCAGAGGTTCTTGCTGGTATCACATGCCAACATTCTCCAAATTCCCCAAGTGCTACATTAAGGCAAGCACAGTCAGGTCCCAATTTCATATCATCATACTTATAAATGCAGTGTTAGTATAGTCAGTCAGCATCTTCAGATGCACTGACATTTTTCTGTGGACCCTTTGCATTCGTTTCCAAATTCCTAATATTTAGCAGCAGGGAAGCATCGAGAAATTTTTAGTGTCAGGATATCTGAAATTTTAATTCAAATATACTCTGCATTTGGGCTGAAAGTTATTGAGCTGCAGACATCTTGGTATAAGTGGCTATGTTTTTATTCTGAAATGACTATAATGTCATTACTAATTTAAATATGATTGGGAGCATCATGGAAAGCTGAGGATGTGGTAATTCGCATTTACTCATTTTTTGAAATTCTGAGGTACTCAAGCAGGCATGATCTTTTGTTATTTCACCATGTCTATTGACTTTCTTTCATGCCGTGGATACCATTACTGCTCAGAAATTAATTATCAGAAATCCATGGAGGTTCATAACCTTAGGCTTCAGACACTGCTAGTCAAAAGAACTTTCCTGAAAGCCAGAAGTTGTTATACTTTGAAGAAATATCAACATAGTATTATTAACTGATTAAAAATATTATTTCTAATTCCAAAAATTAACTAGAATAATTTACCCACCAAAATAAAGAAGGAGTAGATTTTTCCAAACCAAAATTATTTATGGAGAACAATGAAATTTAAAATAAAAAATCATCTTTCTGATGATTTTAGAGAAGAATTTCTGATGAAATTAGAGAGAATTTCCCAAATGAAAATGAGATATAGAAATCAAGTTTGTGTTTACTTTTTTTTTTTGTCTCACAAAGAAATGTGCCAGAATGATAAAAGAGTTACAGTTCAAACTGAAACTTAATTGTATATGATAAACCATGACTTTGGGTAGTTTTTAAACTTCAAGCTCCAAAGTTTCATTGAAGTCTAAATTGGAGAAAAGTTGTTTTATTTTACTAGACTCAAACTTGAGGCTAGTTTTCATGCTAAATGTATTTCTAAAGAACTAGAGTGCAGAAAAACTGCCATCTGATTAACTACAATGAAACACAACTGGAACAACAGCAGACAGCTTTTATATGCCAGGCAACTCTTGTGACTATGAAGGCTTAAATTTTATATATATATATATATATATATATATATATATATACATACATATATATATGTTTAAAAATATTTAAAAGGAAAATCAAAGGTTGCAGGAGAAATTTTAAACATGTTTTCAAATGGCTCAAGATAATAATAAGGCAAAAGGCAAAAATAATTCAGCTACTTAGATTAACCATAATTATTTATATTATGGGAATTATTTATCTGGTAGAAAGCACTGGGAATGAACAGACTTCCAGCAGAAGAACAGAATCTGCCTCAGGAACAGTTTGAGATACACAACACAATTGCAATGATGATGATTGGTGAGCAGCAGACCATCATTTCAATACAAAAAGTTTTCCCTTTTAGTCTTACAAAAAGACTGTAAAGACTTCATTCGTCTAATAACCAGGAATCTTCTGATCTCCATCTAAAACTGTTCATTTCTAATGTGCTGTACGTTATGGCAGCATTCAGTCTTTCCACCTCTAATTTGCTAAAGAAGATGAGTCAAACTCATTGAATCTTGTCTTATAAGATTATATTTTTATTCCCCACACACTCCTTTTGGCTTTTTCCTCTATTCATTCCAGTTTGTTCTTTCTGAACAAGCCTGAGCACAGGTACAGATAGTTTGTGGATGGAATTTCCAGAGTGGCTTGCACAATGGCACTGAATTGCCCATTTCCTCCTGAAAATGTTTTGCTGTGTGTATTCCAGGATCATTACTTTTCCTAGTAGTCTTGCTATACCAAAGACAGTTCTCTTTTCATTAGCTTTTCTAGTATTTCCTCCTAATGAGTTCCCAGTTTACAGAAGAATTTTTTAAACACCACATAAATGGCTTTGCATCTTAAATTGTGAACTTTCTCAATTTCTATTAATCCTCAATGTCATCCAGACCCAATATGTCACATTACTAAGAATATTTCTTAATATTACCTTATTAGCAGGTTTCTAGATTGGGTAGAACATCAGTTCAGGGAAGTCCTTAATATTATTAGAAGAAATTAACCCTTGATCTCTGTGCAAATCATTCTGTTAATCACCTTGTTATACTCCATCCTTTGTATGCTCATTTATTAGCCTACATTTTATAATTCAGCATGTAGTTTTCTCAACATAAAAAAGCACCACACACTTTACTTAAGTTATATGATAAAAAAGACACAGACAAACAGTAGAGATGAACATAACAAGGCATGCTGAGAATCACTTCAGGAAACATACCATTTCCCTCAAAATGGTTCAAGAAATACTGAGAATATTTTCCTGTTATATATACAAATTAGGTTTTTTCCATTCTTTTTAAAGCATAGTTTATCTAATTTTTGACAGTAATTCAAGTCCTTAAAATTATTGAAAATCATTTGACCTGTGAGTATTTCTAGATGGTCTAATCAGATTTAATGCTCCACCCTCACAGGCTTTGGAGAATTGTACTCTCTCTAAATGAAAGCTTCATCAGACATATTAACAGTTGTCACATGGTTTTGTGCAACATTTTCAAACACATATATTAATAGTGCAGGACATTCTTTTTTGTTTTTTTTTTCTTCCAGTGAAATGTCAGAATTTTGTGCAGAATGCATATAGGTTTTCTTAGGAAAAGCTACTTGAAAAAGAAAATAAACTTCTGTCAGGAAAAAATTACAAATAGAAAATGTTCAACTTCTTCTGTTGCCTGAGTCCTTTTGAATGTCCCAATCTAAGCTGGTCAAGAAGTGACTACCATAAAAGCTTTTTCAGCTATGTTAACACCAGCCTGGCATCAAATTGCCTTTCTCTAAGTCACACAACTTTCCTGGCAGTCTGTGTTGCAACTTTTGCAGAGGACTCCGATGTAATTACACCAAAGGTGCATAAAATAAAGATGCCACTCCTTTGGTTAAGCACTAGTTCAGCTCTCTTTGGAGCAATGTACCTGGTGTGGGGTCTACAAATAAAGGAATATGCTGCAAAATTGGACAGAATTCAGAGAAAAACTATGAGACTGACTAGAGTTGAAAAACAAGTATAGAACTGACTTGCAAGAGAATGTCTTTAGTTTGTTGAAGAGAAGGTTAAAGGGCTGCCCAGTTGCAACCTCAAAGTGGATCCCTCACACCAGGAAAAATATCATGGAGGTAATTTTGAAACACCAAGCAAAATTATTGGAAGACTCAATGATGGGAAGATGACATCATGCAAAAGCTAGACTACAAGCAAGATTCCAGTCTTGATTATGAATACGTGAGGAAAACATGTAGTAGTTTTCTTTATGATTTCAAAACAATTTTGATATTTTTGAAGAGAAATTGTCATTTATTTAAACCTAAATATTGTATTTGAAATAGAAGAAAATGCCAGAATATACCAGTTTTTGCAGTGGAACTGAGGAGATGGCTACACTGGTTCCATCTGTCCTTAAAACACCTCATTTACTAAATGCGTTTTCTCTGACATAATACTGTGCAGTCATAATGCAGTTATTTCAGTCTGATTTCTTTTTTCTTCTGTCTTCTGTTATGTCTTGTTTGCCTTGCTGACTTTGCTTTTATTTTGTTTCTTTTTTGTGGCATTTATTTATTTATTTATTTGGTTTGGTTTTGTGTTTTTTTTAATTGGTTGATTGGCTTTTTTGTGTTGTTTTTGTTTTGTTTGGTTTGTTTCTTTCTTCTTTTTATTCCAGGAATTGGCCAAGGGGTTCCAGTTGTGGCCCTTATTGTGGAAGGAGGTCCCAATGTCATCTCCATTGTCCTGGAGTACCTGCGAGACACTCCTCCTGTTCCTGTTGTGATATGCGATGGCAGTGGCCGAGCATCTGACATCCTAGCCTTTGGTCACAAATATTCTGAAGAAGGAGGGTAAGTCATTTCATAGCATATGTTCTTTCTCTATCCACAGGTTCAATTCAGTGGTAAAGCAGAGCACAGGAAATTATTAACAATATTGTACAGAAGCAACACCTACCTCACATAGCCATTTCCGTCTTTGATATGGATGAAATATTGAAGGTGTTCAGAACATAACAAAACAAGCCTTAAAACAAGTGCCATCTCTGAACCTGCTCTGCTACAGGCTGGAGAGTCCCAGCTCCCTCAATCTTTCCTCACAAATGAGGTGATCCAGTCCCTTCATCATCTTAGTTGCCCTGCTCTGATAGGGGCAGCTACTCTTGCCCTGGAGAAAATTACTCTGTAGTGTGTCACCACCATATGTGAGATTGTTTATGATGGAAAAAATTAATCTGAAGATCCCTTTTTGCATCCTCTTGCGGAAGTTCGGCTGTACTTTTGGTCTGTTTCTTGCATAGGTCTTTCTCAGGCACCAGTTAAAAAGGACCTGGCCCTGCCTTGTAAGAGATCAGATGCAAGTAAGGCTACAGGCATCCCAGATCAAGACTTACAGCATATCCATTAGAAAATGCTGACGTTTTCTTGGTTCACAGCCTTGTTCCTTACCTGATTGCCACAAGCACTCTCAGAGGTTTTCCAGGTGTTCAGCAACGATCATGGACTTCGTCCTCTCAGAAGTTCCCAAAGCAGAACTCAGTCTGATGCCCAGAGTAGAAAATAACAAATAAAGAGAAGATTTAACAACTTAAAAATATAAATCTGTAACACTGAGCTCTAGACCAAGCAGTATTATATGTTTTAGAAGTAAATGTGATCATGAACTCACTCAACCTAAAACTCCTACTGAAAAACAGATAGTTTCCTGCAAATACTTAAATCCATTTTATATTCAGGTTCATGCTTAGTACAGAATTGCATCTGTGATATATATGAATGTGCCAGGTTTGGTATTTGTTTGAGAAGTTGTTTCTTTGTTTTCAGTGAACTTGCTGATAGCGCTTCACATAACCTTACTCAAATATGCTTTATCCTTGTATTTGCTGTGTACATCTACCTTGTCTGTGTTCTGATGTCACCATAAAAAAAAAAAAAAAAAGGAGGAGACTTAATTAATTTATTTGAATATATAAATAGGGCTTGTATGAAAGGCTTTTTACAAGGACCTGTAGTGACAGGACAAAGGGCAATGATTTTAAACTGAAAGAGGGTAGCTTAAGACTGGGTGTAAGTAAGATATTCTTTATGTGCGTTGACTTACTGGCGCAGGCTGCCCAGAGAAGCTGTAGATGCCCCATCCCTGGAATTGTTCCTGGCTGTGTTGGATGGAGCACTGAGGGACTTGTTTCAGTGAAATGTGTCCCTGTCCATGGCAGGGACGTTGAAATTGGATGATCCTTAAGGATCCCCTCCAACCCAGACTATTCTATGATTCTGTGAATTTATGATGCTGTGCTATTTCATCATCACAAACTCCTGCCTGTAGAAAAAGCAAGTTATAGTATCAATAGAAGCAGACCAAGTCATTTCTTACCTGAGACTCTCATATCTGGCTTTGTGAAAGGTATTAGTTTATCTTAATGTGAGGGTCCCATTCCATATTGTTTCCTGCAACCTTACCAACCAACAAAATTACTCTTTTATTCTCTTCACTTTTCACTAAAGAGAATGCACGAACTATGAAATTTGCTAAACTAGCTAGTGGAAATTTCTGTGTGTTCATACTAGTTCAGAAAACATCAGTCTGGCATTCCATGATATTTTTAATACCAGAAGTAAAACACCAATATCATTATATTTATAAAAATATTTTGTCTAAATACATTAGACTTCAGCTACAAATTGGATTCTTTTTTCCTCTCTCTAAGCTATGTTTGACTAGTGCTTAGTACTATGAGACAAATACCAAATAATTGCCATGTTAACT